TATATAATATATATATATATATATATATATATATTATTACATTCCCGATCAGCTAAATAAGTAGACCATCTCGCTCTCGGCCATTCTTAATAGTGTCTCCACCAAGCAGGGATAATTTCTTAACGTTAACAGGTACACTACACCTGAGCGTTTTGGGCCTCGGCAAACCGCACCGTGCGAAAAAAGCTGAAGTTAAAGCAAGGGCAGTGTAGAGATATAAATAATGCCAGAAGAAATGCAATTTGTATATAAAAAAGTGCAAAAAAAAAAAAAAAAAAAAAAAAAAAAAAAAAAAACAAGTTAAAGCAAGGGCAGTGTAGAGATATAAATAATGCCAGAAGAAATGCAATTTGTATATAAAAGAATTCAAATAGATACGTTTTTTTCTCTGACCTTGACTGATAGTTTTATCGGTATTGGTCAGTTGATCAACCATAAACCTCTCAGAGGAAACAGCAAGATGAACTTGTAACTCTATTTACATCTGTTTTAATGAAGAGAGCAAACTTTCCTTACTGACGCATTGTACCTATTCGTGTTCTGAGCTAGTGACCACCTTATGGAAGGCAAGAAATTCATTAGTCGCTGATTTTATATGTAAGCACTAGGGAATATAAAAAGTCTAAAGATTAAAAAAGAGGCAAGTACAAACTTAATTCAGGGGATAAAGTAGCTACAAGTATTACAACTGCAGACTAAATCCACCTCGCACGTATTCGATTTTTGCTCCGCGGAAATTAAAAAAAGCATATACACATATAAGCAGTGTATGTGTTCATGTATTCATACGTATACATGCACACATCTGACCTCACATACACAAACACATTTGCGCATGTACATCTACACAAATGCATATGCATAAGTACATTTGTTTATACCATTTATATCGTAGTCAATCAGATTCCATAATATCAGCTGGTTGTCAATAAAATTAAATCGACATGATAGTTTCGAAGATAAAATGTTTGTTAGATAAAATCAGTCAAAATAAGAATCAAGCCACACCCCTGGAACGTTCAGAAAGAGATCATGTGGGTGAAGAGTGATCGCTTTCATCGTGCACATCCCTGAGGTCTGGGTGGCAATAGGCTTCTTTCCCCGTGAAGGTCGTGACGTCATTCCCAAGGGTGGAGCTTCGTGTATATAATGTGAAGTGTTCTTCGATCTAGTTATAGTTCCTCAGCATGTCTCCCAAGGTAGGTTACAAACGAACTAAGTTGATCGTGAATGTTATTGTCATTGTACCTGTAGTGTACTATTCTTAATGGTAACTTCAAAATATTTTTCAGTTCATTATCTTTACTGCTCTTGTGGCCGTGGCTCTTGCCCGCCCTGATCAAGCCCCAGCCTATGGCTATGCCGCCCCTACACCTGCTCCTGCACCTGCCAAGTACGACTTCAACTATGCCGTCAAGGACGAATATTCTGGAAACGACTTCGGCCACCAGGAGGCTCGTGACGGCTATGACACCCAGGGTTCCTACTACGTCCTCCTTCCCGACGGTCGTCTGCAGAAGGTCGCCTACACCGTCAACGGCGACTCTGGCTTCGTGGCTGAGGTCAGCTACGAGGGCGAGGCCCAATACCCTGCCGAACAGCCTGCCTACAAGCCCGCCCCTTCATATGCTTAGATGCAAAGTCTAATTTGTCTGTGATTGTATTTATAACTCTTACTTATTTTTAAATAATACTTAACTTACTTACTTATTTTAAATAAATACTTA